CCGAGAACCTGGGTTTGAGTCAGATGTGGTCATTCTTGGAAAATAGGTTGAGCACTCTAGCACTGACCGCTGCACGGCTCCCTCTTCATGCTGCCTGCGTTGCCCGCCCCTGGGCGCAGCCCCTTAAATCCCTCCATCCCTCAAAGGGGATATATAGGGGTTATATCCCCCTATAATGGAGAATCAAATGGAAAAGAAAATGGAAAATGAAATGGAAACTGGGATTACATAGGGGTTAATATATTGGGTTCTGCATTTTCAAGGTTTTATAGAGGATATATAGGGTTATCTAGGGATACATATAGAGTTCTACAGGGATGTACAGGGTTTACGGTTTAGGGCTTAGGGTTGCGGGTTTCCCAAAATTCGGGGTACCTTTTCCAGTTGCTATAGGAGTTAGACAGGAGTTTCTAGGAGGTTTCTAGGGCTATATAAGGCTTCCCGAAACCAAGGGTAAGCTTGTTTTGGGTGTCCCCACTATAAGGATTACAATATTTTTGGGCCTATGTTGGGGTCCCTCTACTTAGGGAAAACAACCGATAATTATTCACACCACCTTCACCAGCACAGCCTGGGAGTTCAGCCGGAAAGCCCCCCAAAAGTCCAAAACCCTAAGCCCCAAAAGGTCCCATAAAAGCACCCCAAGCCCCCAAATCCTAAAGCCTCTTCCTGGCATTGATGGCCCTCCAGGGACTGGGCAAGTTTAGTGCACAACGAGCTGGGGCGAGAAGCATTTGTTGCGATGGTCGGCAACAAGGCTCTTGTTTCTAACCATGGGCCTCTGATAATATGGGCCCGTCCTGTTTCCTGGGTCCTAACTACGGGCCCTTACTTGGGGTGTTGAAGTCTTATGAGCCGATAGTTTCAACTTTAGAACTTCCAAAAGGCTGAGACAACGAGGGGCTTCCCCAAGAATTAGTGGCTGCGAAAACTATCATCATATTCTGGGGACCCCTGAAGAAGAAGCTAGTTGCTGTAATGCTACGACTAGTAGTAACAATAGTTGTAGTAATGAAAATGCTCATAGTAGTAGTGGGCAATAATGATATTCCTGAAGAACAGTAGTAATTAGTAAGAATAGAAAGTATTAGTAGTAATCTTAATGGTTCCCAAACCACAGTAGTAGCAAACATAGAAACATACAAGTTTGTAATAATAGTAATAGTTCCCAAGCAGCAAAAGTAGTGAAAATAGGAAAATAGTAGAAGTATTACTAATAATTCCCAAATTACAAAAGTAGTAAGTATAGAAAAATCTTAGTAGTAATAGTAATAGTTGGAAAATACTCATAGTACTAAGAATACTTCCAGGCAGGATAATAGCAATAGTAGTAAGAGTAGCAATAGTAGTCATAATAGTAAAGGTACTAATTGTAATGGTAGTACTGGTAGCACTAGTGGTAATTCCCTACCCGTGGAATTTGAAAGGCAGACCTCGAAGGCCGGGAAGTGCCAGCTGACGAAGCCCGTGGGGAGTCAGAAGCCCTGGGCGCGATGTTCGTGGAGACCAGCGCAAAGACAGGCAGCGTAGGGTTCAGGGTTTAGGGCTGAAAGAACGATGGGTCAGAGGGTAGATCATTCTACAGCTCTTTAAGCCTTATAGTTGTAAGGGAATGTGGATCATACTATAGCTACGTAGGCCTCATGGCTGCAAAGGAATCCATCATTCCTACATAATCTCCTATAAAGCCGCTATAGGCATCTGTCAATCGACCGCATGATGGGCAGGTTCCAGTTGAGCAGTATTTCATTTGGGGATACTACAGTTCCCTAATATAGAGTAAGATCATATCCTCTCTTTGAGTATTGTATGCTATAAGAGGCAATTACTGAGTTCAACCATCAAAAAATGTTACTCAGTCGTCAGGCGAGAATGTGGATGCCCTCTTCCAGGAGCGCGTTCCGTAGGTCCCAAGCACTGGGGATCATTGCTATTCCTGTGAAATTAAGAGTACCGTTTTTGATAATGAGAATGATAGTTATTCTTTGGTTACTAGTATTATTCATATCAAGTTCTCATCATTCTCATGTCTATTTGAGCCATTGTCTAAACTCCTAGTATCCCACTTAATAACCCCTATAGTAGTCCCTTGTATAATCCCCTATATAACCCCCTTTAAGGAGTTTAGACCATAGCTCATTTGGTTCTATTTGCCCTAAACCCTAAAGCGCCAGGAACTGGCCACGCAGCTGCCAAAGTGGTCTCGCAGTGCTCGACTTGCCAAGCCCGTGCCGGCAGTCGAGGAGCCAAGGCCCAGCATTCGTTTGAGCTATAGTCTTGGGTTTAGGGTTTAGGGTTAAGGGTTTAGGGTTTAGGGTTGGGGATATATTGGGATGATGGAAAATCAAATGGAGACTGCTACATTTTTTTAAAATAGGGTTTGGGGAATTTGGAGCTATAGTCTAAGTTCCTTCAAGGGTCAGGTAATAATGGAAAAGAAAATGGAAACTACTATAGTATATTGAGGTTATATAGGGATAATGGAAGAGAATATGAAAACCACTATATTGAGGTTATTTTGGGATAGTGGAAAAGGAAGGAGAAACTACTATAGTCTAAACTCCTTCGAGGGGGTTATATGAGGGATTATGTAGGGGATTACTATAGGGGCGAAATGGGGGATACCAGGATTTAAGATTATAGCTCATTTGCATGTCAGAGACCATTTTTTTGCAGTCGCCCAAAATTAAGGACCCTTTGAAGGGGGGGGGGCATTGCATAAGGATTATAGAATTTCGGGCTTTTTGGTTGGGTTTAGAAAATTGTTGCTAACTACCATCTCTACTTACTGGCAAGGCCTACGAACGCTCCAAGAAAGCGATGTTGCCTCTTCCCGCAGTTCTGAGTCATTCACAGACACTGACAGACACTGTCATGTGGACATCCTCGGGGTGTTGTCCCATGTGCAGACCGCGGACAGCGCTCAATTTCAGAAGTGATGCCACCTGACGCGTGTTGCCAAGTCATATAAAGCTCATGACTGGCACGCCGGCACAGCCTAAGATAGTCTTTGTGCCGCCACCGTGTACAGGGCAGCATGCCAATTCAGAAGCCAGCAGTCACGTGCGCCAGTGTCAAGCACCTGGTACTCAGGTTGATTTGTCTGGCCCTCAGCCCTAAACCTGAAACCCTACACCCTAGACCCAATCTTAATGGCAAGGCTGCTTGCTTGACATTGGGGTCATGTGACGCACGACGAGTAGGGCTAGGGGACTTCGCAGGCAGCGTTTCCGAAGCGAACTGCAAAAGCAAATGCAAGGACTCTCAGACCTTCATGTGTTTCCCTACTATATTTCCCTCCACAAGTTTCCCCATTAAGTAGGGTTACTTGGGGGTAGCTAGGGACCCATGAGACTTCCTGAGAGCAAGCCCAGACAAAGCCTTGGCACAGGAGCTCCAGGGGCCGCGCGTGACGTTGGAGGAGGCCTTGAGCCCCCCCCCCCCCTACTTGGGTAACGTTGGGATAATATAGGGTTTAGGGTTTAGGATTTAGGGTTTAGGGTTTAGGGTTTAGGATTTAGGGTTTAGGGTTTAGGGTTTAGGGGATGTGAAATGGAAAAGAACATGGAAACTACTATATTTAGGGGTAGTAAAGTAATATAAGGGCTATATAGGTCTGGCCGTAGTAAATATAATCGTGATAAGAGTAAATAATGGTAGTATTTAAGCAAAAAGAGTATGAATGAGAATCATAGGAAAAATAAGAAGATGTTGGCAACAATACTTGTAAGAATATCAAGAAATAGTAGTAATACGCTATTACAATTTTATTCTTATAGCCTTTAACTAAGTATTATCATCCGGTTTCTTTAAGCTTAGTGGTAGCTGCTGAGGCCTTGGCTGCCTGCATCACCAAGATATCCCTCAGACACCGCACCGTGGTCCCCGTGGTGCCTCTCCGCGCCGGCCGCCAAGTTGGCTCCTATAGGGTTTAGGGGTTTCGGGCTGAGGGACTTGGGTTTCAGGGTTTATGGGTGTATGTGTTTAGGGATATGTCCGCCCAAAAAAACGAGGAGAACCAAACGGAAAACATGGAGCATGAAACGAGCATGTGGATTATGTAGGGGCTAGCGGGATTCCTGAAGGCGCAGAAGAACGAGCTTTCTGTGATAGCCAAGGCCGTCCCGGTGAAAGACGTGCCAAGGCTTGGAAAGTGGCCAGCAGTCAATTCTAGAATGATGCATTATAATACGGGAGGGAGAGGAGATGATACAATCCCAATTTCCACTTCATGTTGCATTTTCTATTCCATTCCCTTATACAATCCTCCATTGCCCCTGTATTACCCCAGTTTTTAGGGCTACTTTCCATTTGCTGTTTCATTTGATTCTCTATTACCTGCGCCGACAGGACAAGCGGAGGTACAGGGCTATCCGCGGCACTCTGCTGCGCTCAGCCCGGAGCTACAACATATGGGTGGTTGTCAAAATATTGGTCCTTTTTTGGGTACCATAAATACTAGGTGCCGTAACACAATAGGGGCCCAAAAGGGACCATACTTTGACAACCACCCATATATACCCATTGTAATGTAGTACTTTCCATTGTCTTTTCCATGGTCCTTATTTATATATATATAGAGAGTCCTTGTATATGTATGTAGCTATATATACACACACTATTATACCATGTCAGTTTCCATTTGCTTGTCCAATATCATCCCTACCCTATATTTACCCTACTATACCATGTCAGTTTCCGTGTTCTTTTCCATTATCCCTGTAACCCCCAAACCCTAAACCTTAAATGAGTAGTATTTTATTTGGGGATACTATGGTACCTAATATAGAGTAAGATGATATCCTCCTTCTGGGGTATAGTATTGTATATAAGGAATATAATCTTACTAGGTTCAACCACCAAAAAAACACTACTCAATATAACCCCAATATTACCCCAATATATACCTTATTATAATATAGTAGTTTCCATTTTCTTTTCCATAAATGCTAAACCCTAAACCCTAAAAGGGATTCGCGCAGTGCTCTGGTCTCCAGGTGCCGGCTTCCTCCATGGTGTGTTGCCGACGTGATTATCTACATGAGCTGTAGTCTAGACTCCTTGAGGGCGGGTATATAGGGTTAGATAGGGGATTATATGGAGCAGCACTATAATGGTTATTGAGGGGGGGATACTAGGAGTTTGGGAAATAATGACTGTAGCTCACATAGAGTCTACGTGGCAAAGCAGCCTTCCTAAACTGCTTGGTGTCAGGGCTGGCCTTTGGTGGGCGCTGGATGTGCCGTTGGCTGTGTTTCTGGTTTGTGGCAGCTCAGCCAGTGGATGCAAAGGCGCGCTGCACAGCCTTATTTGCATTTCAGACCTCTTTGAGCAATTTACGTTTAGCAGTATTTGTCTACAGTCAGCACGCACGCATTCAGCCTGCGCGTGAGCTTGGTAGGATGCATGTGTGCTGTGCAGCGTCGAAGCTACGACCTTCCTCTGCTACGTGATAGTACGTTGGAGGGGAGACATGTTTCAGCGGCATAAGCTAGTAATGCCATCCGATCCCATGACATCAGGCGGGCTCATAAATCATGTCTCTGCCCAACGTTATTCCAGCTATGACTCCTAGCATTGGAAGGCTTTGTTGCCAGCCAGGCAATTCGTCCCTTGGGTGAACGCACGCAATGAGGAGGCTGGGGCAATAGAGGTGCTACCTGGATTCCTTTCCTCTCGATCTTCATGAGAAGGATCTCCAAAGCGCACTGAATCTGAGAATTTCCTGAAATTTACAGTTAACAGTCTATCATACGGGTCATATTAAGGGCTATATAAACATAACATAAATATTATCCAATAATAGGGGTCATATTAAGGGCTACATATGGATCTTGGCAAAGTGTAGGCCTGGGTGGGTGCCATGAAAGAGCCAAAGGAGCTCTACCACCGCTCGTGTGGAGCTCGGAGTGAGCTGAGTTCTTTTTGTGATATACACATACGCCTAAGTGTCAACATGCCATATGTACAAATATACATACACACATATACGTACATATAGCAATCTATGTATTGTGTAGTATATAAAGATATATAGCATGGTGTTGCTTTGATGGATCAGAGGTCAAGCCAGGGTTGCGGTGACCGACATTCCTCCAGGCAGGGCATTGGAGGAACCAGGCAGTATGGGGGTTTCCTAAGTGTTTAGGGTCATATAGTCTAAACTCCTGAAACCGTGGTTATATAGGAGTTTCCTATAACCAGGGGTACCATTTTGGTTATATGGGGGAATCCTCATTTTGGAAATGACCTTGTGTTCATTGAGAAATCGAAGGAAGTATTGCGGAGGATGAGACAGGAAATCTGGAAGAGCATATACTATATTTATGTAGAGACAAAGTTATATACATACATGTGTATACATATATACATATACACGATTAGTAGTCAGGTTCCCCACCTTCTTCTCCAGCCCTGATGACGCAGCACCTGTGTTTGCACTTCGCCCTCTGTAGGCTGCATCTGGGCGTTGTCGCCGAGCTGCCAGGCCTTGCCGTGCGGTAGATGGTAAATGATCTCAAGAGCTACTGTCAAAATATTAGGTTTACCAAGGGTCCATGAGGTGTGGACATGGGGATCCCTCTGGTAGTATAGTATAGTCGGTAGTATATTCCCTAATCAGAAGCCCATGTAATTGTCTGGGAAGTGTCGACTGCTGCTCATTTCCAGACGTAAAAAAGATTTGATCCTCATTCTAGGGACCTCCAAGAAGAGAGTCACCATCCTTGGCCCCTCCCCCCCGGTGAAACCACTGAGTCAGGTGAGGACGTGGAACAGCTGGCTGCAATCTTGGGCGATTACTTCTGCAAAGAGGCCTTGATCTTCTTGAACCCCCAAAACCCTAGACACTAAATCCTAAACCCTGAACCTTAAATCCTAATGTTGAGGTTACATTAATAAACCCCCCCCCCCCCTCAGATCTTGTTTTGGGATTCGGGCTTATGGAAGGGGGGGGGTCGCAATAATAAATGACGGGGGGGGCGGTAGGACTAGGTAGTGCAGCTCGTAGTACCAGTAGTACAAATAAAAAGAAATCTA